AGAAATACACTAATATTAAAATAGCTTCCAGGGACAAACAAGCATGCTCTTAAGCCTTGGCCCAACAAAATCATTCTCACTGATGAATTAACTAACACTAACTTTTGTTTAATCTGCAGATTATTTCACTGTTGCACTTCATTGTGTCACAATATTTAACCTGAAAGAAGAGGAAATGGTACCCATCTGACCATTCAGATACATGGGGGGAGAGGAGAGATAGAAAATTAAAGAATATTTCTCCGTGGATCTAGTATGGTGTCAGAAAAGAGTAAACCTAGTAGTCCTAGTTCAGTGATTCTCAACCCTGGCAACTTTTAGATGTGTGGACTTCAATTCCCAGAATGCTGCCTAGAGAATTCTGGGAGTTGAAGTCCACACATCTCAGTGTTGCCAAGGTTGAGAAACACTGACCTATATAGATATACAGGTAGCCCTTGATTTACAACAGTTTGCTTAGTGACTGTTCAAAGTTACAAGGGCACTGAAAAAAGTGACATGACCATTTTTCACACTCATGACCATTGCAGCATCCCCAAGGTCATGTGATTTACATTTGGATGATTGAGAACTGACTCACATTTATGATGGTTAAGTGTCCTGGGGTCAGGTGACTTTCGCAACCTTCTAACAAGCAAAGTCAATGGGGAAACTAGATTCATTTAACAACGGTGTTACTAACTTAACAACTGCACTGATTCACTTAGCAAATGTGGGAAGGAAAATCATAAAATGGGGCAAAACTCACTTAATAAATTTCTCACTTAGCCACATAAATTTGGGGCACAATTGTGATCATAAGTTGAGGACTACCTGTAGAAGCTGACACCTGATGAATTAAGGAGAAATCTTGGCTGAGAAAGATACATAATGGGCTTGATGGACATATTTATAGGCTGAGGAAATGGTAGAAGCTCTCTTAAGACAAGCAGAGAAGAACTTGATACTTTATTTTGCACCCCTCTTATTTTGGGTTCTAATATTTAAAGTCCGGAGCAAGAAATTAAAATATGAATCTTTACATTAACTGTCAAACCCCAAATTCCTATGATTGTAACAATATTCACGAAAATGACTACAACCTGGAAAACTTGTGAAATCAGGTTCCCATAGCATTATATAACTGACCAAAGTAATGGCACTAAGGAAAGTAATTTCACTCTTAAAAAAACCTTCCATTTTTGCAGGTGTCCAACAGGATGAAGTCAAAAGAGTCAAGACGGAGACTACAACTGCACAATAAAAAAGGATCAAAGCTTTGACTGTGTAGTTGTAACCACTATTTTGCATCAACACATGTAAAGAAGGTAGGGGCGTTGATGTGTGGTTGTGACTACCACCCTGACATTTTTGACTTTCCTGTGAGCCTTCCCTTCCCCCTCAAATATACATACTTAAAAATACTCTAAATTCATAAAAATAACACCACAGTATCTTTAGACAAACTTAAACATTTGACCTGTAGCAATAAGGGGTAGACAAAATTCTCACACATTGTTAAATGATAGCAAAGGGCCAATTATCTCTGTTCACCTTCTGCTATTCTTGTCTTCCAGATTTTTCCTTCCTTTTGCATTTGCTGTCATGCACAATTCTTCTTCTGTCCCCCAGGAAGAAGGCAGACATAACTCAGCTGGAGAAGTAATGAGAATCCAGGACCTGACAAATAATCCCAGGGAGCTGGATGTACAGAGGCAGATTGTATAATGGCATACAGTATGTAGTGTTCTCTAATTTCAGTCAAGAAGAAAAGAGCTCAGTCAGTGACATCTGAAGCTCTGGATAAATCTCCAGATTGTAGAGTTGGGAGTCTAATTTATTGCTTTTTCTGGTTGGCTTCATCCTGTAATTTACTCTTCCCAGTTTGCAATAGTGGTTAAAGCACCATGCTAGAAACCAGAAGGTCATGAGTTTTATTTATTTATTTATTTATTTATTTGTGGGACTTATATACCGCTTTAAGTGCAAGCACTCTCTAAGCGGTGTACACCAGTAAGCAATGTATATATATATTTACATTGCCCCCAACAATCTGGGTCCTCATTTTACCTACCCTGGAAGGATGGAAGGCTGAGTCAACCATGAGCTGGTGAGATTTGAACCGCTGACCTGCTGAACACAGTCAGCTAAAGTGGCCTGCAGTACTGCACTCTAACTGCTGCGCCACCAGTTTTGGTTCTGATTAAGGCACAAAACCAGCTAGGTGACCTTAGACCAATTCCTCTCGGCCCCAGAAAGCAAGCATATTATTTGTTCATTCATTCATTCATTCATTCATTCATTCATTCATTCATTCATTCATTCATTCATTGTATTAGCCTCCCATCTCCAATGGACTGATGGACTGTTACTGAAGTCCAAGTAAATTATGTCCACAGCATTCCTCTGATTCACTAATTTTGTCACTTGGTCAAAGAATGCAGTAAGATTTGTCTGGCATGATCTATTTTTGACAAACCCATGTTGGCTTTTAGTAATGTCTTTGTTTGCCTCTAGGTGTTCGTTGATTTGTTGTTTGATTATCTTTTCCAGGATTTTCCCAGGTATTGAGGTCAGGCTGATAGGTTTGTAATTTCCTGGGTCCATTTTTTTATATACTTATATCTTTCATTTTTCCTGCCTAAATGTAAAACTTTGTTTTTCTCCACATTAAAACTCATTTTGTTGGATAGGGCCCATTGTTCCAGTTTGTCAAGATCTTTTTGGATCCTGAGCTTGTCTTCTGGGGTGTTGGCTATTCCTGCCAGTTTAGTGTCATCTGCAAATTTGGTGAGTTCCCCCTTCTATTCCCTCATCTAAGTCATTGATGAAGAGTACTGGTCTAAGACGGAGCCTTGTGGTACCCCACTGCTTACTTCTCTCTATGTAGATGTAGTACCATTGAAGACTATTTGTTGAGTACGGTTTTCAACCAGCTACAAATCCATCTGGTCATGATGTTGTCTATGCCATCTTTTTCTAGCTTACCAAGCAGTAGATTGTGGTCTACTTTCTCGAATAACTGATCAGTTTTTATAATATTGCAATATTGTTCTTCCAATTAACTTCTTTGCTTATTTTCTCTTTTTAATTTTTATTTTCTGATCCTCTACATAAAATTTAAACTTTTTCAACCATATTTTAGTTGAAGAAGAATTACAAGAAGAATTGCTAGGAAGATTCTTAAAATTTAACTTCTGTTGTTTATGTGCTTTTTTTTGTTATATCAATTATGAAATCCCTAAAATGCTATCATTTGTAAAATGTTGTCAACTAGAGCAGGGCTTTTCAACCTTTTCACCCATTGTACCATTTTAGGATATGGCAACATCCGAGTACCACCAGTCGCCTAGCAAGGTGTCAAAAACTTGATGACCAAAAAAAAAAAAAAAGGAAAAAAGTGATGAAGTACAGGTAGTCCTCGACTTACAACAGTTCGCTTAGTGACTGTTCGAAGTTACAATGGCACTGAAAAAAGTGTCCCCCAAACCAGAACTGAGCAAGACACCTGTCTGCCTGCCTGGCAGTGCTCTTCCTCCTCTCTGAGGTTTTCATTGTTGTGAGCATTTCTGTTGAGGATTGGCACTGGGGTTGGGGTGGGGGGTATTTGATTTTTATTCCCCTCGTCTGCTGGGTGGTTGCAGCAGTTTTTGGTCACTTCACATGACCCTGGGACACTGTGACTGTCATAAATATGAATCAGTTGCCAAGCATCTGAATGTAAATCACAAGATCCTGGAGATGCGGCAACATTCCAGCTGATCGGCACTTCTTCTGGGCTCAGCAGAAGTGCCAGGATCAGCGCCGAGCTCCAGCTGGAGCCTGGCACTGATCCTGGTGCTTCCACTGAGCCCTGACAGCCCCGAAGAAGCACTGATCCTGGCGCTTCTGCTGAGCCAACAGCCCTGCAGCTCCAGTCATCTCTCGCTCAGGCTTGTGCAGTGCTGCCACTGGTTCAGCTCATTCCCCTCTCCTGCTACCACTTTTCTAGGATGGTCGCATACTATCTGCCAGGTGCCAATGTACCACAGGTGGTACCCGTACCACTGGCTGAAAAGCCTTGAACTAGAGATCACCTTTGCATGTCAGCAAATTACCTACTTGCAGGTGTATAAATCAATTAAAGAAATAAATAACAGAACAGAACAGAATAGAATAGAGCTGGAAGGGACCTTGGAGATCTTCTAGTCCAGCCCTCTGCTCAAGCAGGAGAACTTATACCATCTCAGACAAGTGACTGTCTTGTCTCTTCTTAAAAACTTTCTGTGATGGAGTGCCCACAATTTCTGAAGGCAAGCTATTCCACTGATTAATTATCCTCACTCTTAATTCCAGGTTGCTTCTCTCTTTGATCAATTTCCAACCATTGTTTGTTATCCTGCCCTCTGGTGCTTTGGAAAATAGTTTGACCCCCCTCCCTCTTTGTGGCAGCCCCACAAATACTGGAATACAGCAATCATGTCACCCCTATTTCTTCTTTTCTTTAGACTAGCCAAACCCAAGTCCTGCAGCTGTTCTTCATATGTTTTAGTCTCCAGGCCTTTGATCATCTTAGCTGTTCATCTCTGAACTTTTTCCAAGGTCTCAACATCTTTTTTGTAGTATGGTGACCAAAATTGGTCGCAGTATTCCAGGTGTGGTCTCACTAGGGTTTTATAAAACGGTAGTAATATTTTGCATGATCTTGATTCTGTTCATATAACCTAGGATTGTGTTAGCTTTTTTGGCTGACTACTACTACATTTTCCTTATCAAGTGCAAACGCAGTTATATGCAAGGTATTCAAGAATGCCCAGTGCTTTTCAAAGATACATTCTAAGAAAATGGCTTGCTTCAAAATATTTTTAAAAATTATTCCACAACCCTGAAGTTAATAGCTGCTCTCTGCTTCTCAGCAGATATCCTGCCTGCATTGAAACCTTCAGGGATCTAGTGAATATCCAACATTTAGAAAAGATAATTTTGGGGAATAACTCATTTGAATGCTTGTAGGAGGGCATCTATTTCCCAAAGATTTGCAGACTTGCAGGGAAGAAAATTTTCTGTTTTCACACACAGAGCACTCTACGAGTTCTCTTGTAATTCTAGAACAATCATTCTTATCTCCTGCTGGAGCCACCTCAGTAAGTGGCTGATTGCTTAATTATATTCTGTCCTCCCTTCTTTTTGTGAGTTGATAGCAGTCTAAAGATATGCATAGTCAAAGCTGAGGCCAACAGGGTTAGACAGCTGTATTTATGTTTCTACTTGGTGTTTGAGTGCTTCTTCAGAATTAGCTGAAAATTAGAAATGCATTAGCCAGCATATGTCCCCAGCTTGTAGTATGCCACCAACATGGATGAGTTTGCCAGAAGTCACATGCACAGGATGCCACTCAGATGGATAATTCAGGGTGGGGAAATGACCCTTGGGTGTGGCTTCCAGAGCCCTTCCCAAAAGTAATCAAATCCAGCTTTTTCATACGATGGAGGCAAGGATGATTAAATCAGAAGGGACTATCATAATTCCTCAATTGATTCACTTAATTTTATTTAAATGTAACCATTTATGTAAATGTAACCACCCACCCACTTTTCACTAGATTTACATAACACATCAAAAGCAACTAATCTTGGATCAATAAAACACAACTGATATTTGCAAAATAAGCCATTATACAAAGTAATAGAGTGGGAAGGGATCTTGGAAATTTTATAGTCCAATCCCTTGCTCAAGCAGGAGACCCTATACTATTGTATGGCTGTCCAATCTCTTCTTAAAAACCTCCAGTGATGTCTAAGCATACCTTAGCATGGCTCAATATGGTGCCTTACCTCACACAACACACTCAAGACAATAGCTGGCACCACCTAGCTATCCCCCATTTTAACTTACACTAGTCTGATCTGCCTGCCCAGTCCCTGTGTAACCTTCTTTCCTCCTCTATACTTTTATCTGGTTTATTTGCATGTGTACCACATCAGGTGCTGAGTTGCTAGGGGACATTCAGGGGAAAGGTAGCAGTTGCTAAGTGCCCAAGGAACAAACATAGTGACCAGGATGCTGAGAAATAATTCAGTCAATTACCTCAGTCTTCCCTCAAGCAAACTGGTTGAGAGATAACCACTGCTGAGGAACAGCAAGAAGAGACTCACCATTCATGGAATTTGGCTAACCCTTGGTCTCAGAACTTACAGAATTGCCATAGAAAGTCAACAATTATAGGTACCTTTCCCATTAATCCCAGATTTGTTTTTTTCCTCTTTTACAACAAGTTCAGCTAAATATCACTGCTGGTGGGGAAACTTAATTCACCTATTTCCTGGAAAGTGCCAGTTCTTCCTTCCATTACATTTTTTTTACACATCACCCTACTTAATATGTATCCCAAACATATTTATGTTTGTCTTCCACCATTTCAGTTCTTCCTATGATGCTCCCACACATCTTCAGTTTCCTAGAGCATCTCCTGTTGCCATGGCACCCGAGAAGACTCACTTTTCTCTCTCCACATCTTGCCTGAACTAGGCCTGGTGGAATGGAAGGGTGCCCTGGTCACCTGGGCAACCAACCTGATATATCCCACCCCACTGGATGATGCATTACCTTAGCAACCCACCTGCTGTTTGTCCACCCACCTGTTTATTCCTCATCTTCTCATCCTATATAGCAGGTGGGCATAATTCTGATTTTGAAAGAACTTCAAATTCCAACATTGCCCCCAGAAACAAAAGGGTGGCTTTGGGGAGGCCCCAGAGGCAAAATGGCAGCTCAGTTGCTAGAAACAAATACTTAGCACTGCACTCAGCTTAAGAAAATTTCCACAACCATCAACAAAATCAGATATCAGTTTAGGCACTTAGTTGTGCACAGAGCATCAAACTGGGTGCAAAGCTATTTAGACCAAGTGTCCTTGACCAATATTGCCATAGCTTAACAAAGGATGAAGAAGTTTAACATTTAAAGGAAAGCAAGAACAAAGGCCAAGTTGATAGAAGCTGGAAGGAATTTTTTTTAAAAGATTTTATTCATAATACAATTAAAACAACAATGGACAAACATGACATTCCAGAATGAATTTAGAAGCTGGAAGGAATTTTGTCATACATGAATGGGGAATGAATTGGGGAACTGGAGGATCGGGTGTTTTGTTTTATAAATTAGTGTAAGCCTGTTTAAGATTGGACTCTTCTGGGGTTGAGTTTCCCATGTTACAAAGGAAGAAAACATGTCACTGATTTTCAGCAGTTGTAGGTGAGGGAAGTGGGTCAGAAAAGCTGCCATGACCCTATAACTGAGACCCGCCCCTTTTTTGCATGCATCAAATATGTGATGCACATAAAAGGGGGTGAGGCTTCAATCACATTACCACAGTAAACAACTTGATTTTTTTATTTGCGCCTTGGTTCTCCTGGGGGAGGGGATATGGGTGGCTATATAAAAGAAAATAATTGGCTACATGATGTCCAAGACCCTCAAGTTGCCCATTTTGCAGGCCATCTAGAATAAAATGGACAGCCTACAGTTCCCAGCACTCATTTTTTGGCTCCAGGACCTCTTAAGTTCATACCAACATGCGTTGTTACATGCAGGGCTCTTGTTAAATCTTTGCAAAGCACACCACTGTTAGAATATTTAGAGAATCCTTTCCAGAAGGCAGTAGATGGTACCTGGCTTTATATATCTTCATTTTAAAAAGGTCATCTTTTTTAGAGGTAATATAAAGGATCTCTGTGTGAACGTATTAAAATGATAGCATTATTTTCCCTTCCCAACCATCTCCTCTCCTGCTTTGTTCAACTCAGTAGCAGCACCTAATTTTCTATATCTTTAGATGGACAATGACTAATGCTACCGACCTTCTGATGGATAAAGAGATGCTGTTAGATGAGACTTCAAGTCAGGACTCCTCCCTGAGGCACTCCATTGGGCAGGGTAAGGTTGGATCATTTCTGACTGCTTCCATTGCATCCCTCAGGGTAAAATATTTTCAAGCGTTGGCAAAAGTGATAAGCTTCCATACTGGTCAATGTATAAAATGTGATTCTACATGCACATTTATATCCCTTGGATATTCAATCTGTTTGCTTAGCAACCAAACTGAAGAATCCAAGCTGTTTATAGGACTCTGGTACTGAACTATTTTACTATCAATAATTATAATTACTGGTAATTACTGGTTAGCAAGACCTTGGTATTTGCTAGAAAGCTATGTCTTCCAGTCCTAGATATTCCGAAGTTCTCATAAATCCAGAGTTTAGAGAAAGAAATCTTTCAAACTCATACTGAGATTTTGTTTTTGTTTTTAATTGCTTCATTTATTCTAAGAGAAAACAGAGTTCAGAAGCTTAATCCTGACGTGTCATCTTTCAAATTAAGGCTTTTTAGAATCTAATATATCAAGAATTGGCAAACTAATAGTATTTCTTCAGAACAGAATATAATCTTGTTGGAATATGGTATGAGTGCTTGGCCCCTCCCAACAGGAATATATTCTTATATACTTATCTATATCCTACCTTTATTATTTTTTATAAATAACTCAAAGTGGTAAACATATCTAATACTCCTTCCTCCTCCCATTTTCCCCAGAACAGCAACTTTGTGAAGTGAGTTGGGTTGAGAGGGAGTGACTGGCCCAAAGTCACCCAGCCTGCTTTCATCCCTAAGGCAGGATTAGCACACCCAGAATCCCAGTTTCTACACTAGTGCATTAACATCTAGATGAAACTGGCTCCATTGTCTTGTGATGTGTGGAAGTACAATCTCATATTTTCCTTCCTCAATCCCTTTGAGTCAGTTGAATCCTTTCTTCTACCCCTGTAGGAATCAAGGAGTTGTACCAGAATCAACAACTCTGCGATATCATCCTGGTGGCTGATGGAAGAAGGTTCCCATGCCACAGGTAGACAACTGTTGTCAATAAATGAATTAAAATCTCCTGTACAGTGTCTGCAAAAGAGTTTGTTTACAGTTTCTGTTTCTGGTTTTCTGGCTTATCCTCAAGGTGATTGAATTTTTAAAAACTTCTCTTGGCAGTCAAAGGGAATATGTTAACTGCTGATACTGTTCATTTCTTACACAACATTCTGTTATTTTGAAGCTTCTGTAACTGTCCATGTCTCTGAAACTGAAAAAAAAAACTAAATAAGAGGAGTTCCTGTGTGATTTTTTCCCCCTTTGGAATTTAATCTAAATTTAGGAAATGAGACGGAAATGGGGAGCACTGCAGATCACTAAAAAAAAGGTTGACCATTGAAAGTTAGGATATTTATGTGGACATACTTTTTGATCACTTCCTCTTTAATGTGAAAATAGCACATTGCACCAGTGAGAATTTCAAAGTTCTCTTCTTTGAAGTATGTTTAGTCTTCTATAATCTACTTGAATAAAAACTAGTAAAATAATGTTTGGCACAAGTAATAACTGACGATGTATTTAGGAGGAACTCATGGTTGATGTTGAAATGAAGATGAAGACCCTGTGCTCTTCAGATGTTGATAGATTCTGATTGTTGTGATACCCTGGCCGCAATATTTAGAAGAGTTGGAACTCAAACAACATCCAGATAATCATTGGCTTCGCCTATTTGTTAGAGGATCTATCCACAAAGACTCCACCAAAATTCATGATAATAGAACTATATAGGGAATGTAAAGCAGATTAGGCCTATACTGAATGCAATTACTGTTCCATCTAGCTTATGATAGCCTGCAACTTAGATCAATTAGAAGGTCTCTATCTGCTGAGTCTTTCTTAACCCTGCTTTTTGAAATCTTGTGAATTAAGATCTTTGTGAATTAAGCTAGAACAATTTTCTTGCAGAGAGTGTGCGTTTTTCCACAATCATTATCTCCTTCTCTTTCTTCGTGGTTGCTTCCCTTTCAGAATACTCTTAGCTTCTGTCAGCCTCTACTTCCAGCGCATGTTCACCAGCACCTTCAAGGAATCACGGGAAGGAGAAATTGTGCTTATGGACTTATCTGCCACTTGCCTCCAGAGCCTCCTGGATTATGTCTACACTGGGGAATTGCTGCTTCTTGGGGAAGAGGCAGAAGAACTGTTCACTGCAGCCAGTAGACTTCAGATTACTTCTGCACTAGACATTATCACCAGGTATTGGAAGAAAGGTCTTACATATCTCAGTGGAGATGGTGATATTTTTATAGTCCTTAAGATCTTGTTTCTAATGTGTCCCAGATAAATAATTCCACATGAAACCCTGGTTCTGGATATTGCCCAGAAATACCAGAATTTTGGTAACTTCTGGAAGTATTGAGTACCATACATATAATCCTTTGTGTTATTGGCCAAACTAGCTGGCACTGAGGAGAACTGAAACCCAAAATTTCTGGACGATACTAGCTTGACTACTCTAGGATGCCATTAGAGTCTGTTTAATTGCTATTTTCCCTATGTCATGACAAAATCACACCATTTTGCTCCCATTAAGATCTGTAGGCATCTGTGTTTCCATTGCTAAAGTTTCTATCAATCACATCCAATACCTCTTATAGATTTTCCTAATTTCTCTTCCTTTTAATTTATCATTTTTATTTAAATGATATGTGCACTGCCCTCTGAGTTTCAGAATTACTTAGAGAAATACAATACAATACAATACAATAAAAACTAATCTAATCAGAATATAACAAGCAATTACACAAAATGAGACAGAGTGTGTTCATTTTTACCAAAGTCTATTATGTCTCCTTTCTGGCTCTTTATAGATTTCTCAAAGAAAGGATTTCCATGGAGAATTGTTTGGAGCTTTATGTGCTGGCATATTCCCACAATCACCGGCCTCTACTCCACTCAACATCAAGTTACATTGCTTTTCACTTTGAGCATCTCTCAGAGCTTCCTGCTTTCTTGTACTTGGATGTTACTATCCTGATTACCATTATTGCTTCAGAAATCCTGGCAGTGGACTCAGAACTGATTGTGTACAGAGCTGTGCGCCGCTGGGTCACCTATAATCTTGCTGAGCGTCTCCCAAAGTTTGCAGCACTTATGGATTATGTTCGCCTTCCCCTCTTGACCCCAGAGGAACTTGCTGAGGTCCGGGCTCAAACGGAAGAATTTTATGAGTGTGTGCGTCTCCCTTGGGAGGAGCTTAGTGTGGAAGAAAGGTTGTGGGCAAGTAGAGGGCTGAGGCATGGCATGTATCATGAAGGAATGGTGTGTGTGGGTCTCCCAAAATGGAGTGAAGTGAATTTTGAGGATGAGAAGTTGGATTCTCATGTGCATTTCTTTGACCCTTCCATTGATCAATGGGATCAGCTCCCTGACCTGAAATCAGTGACATCTCCCAGTTGTACCTCCATGGGCCATAAACTCTACATAGCTGGTGGGCAGCATTTAGATGGCTCATATTCTGACAACCTGCTTGTATATGATACTCTTGGGGGCTGCTGGTCTCAGCTCCCCTCCATGTCTACACGTCGAGCTTGGCACGCTTTCCTCGTATGCAAGAAAAAGCTATACGTTGCTGGTGGCTGGGATGCTACAGGGACGTTGATAAGTGCAGAGACATATGACTTGGAGCAAGAAGAATGGATGACCATCTCTAGCCTTCCTTTTGCACTGTCATATTTTGCTTCCACAGCTCTCAGGAGCAAACTATATCTCATTGGTGGAGAGATGGGTGACTCTGATTTGCCAGTTCCCCACAAGGGATTCCTGGTTTATGATGTCATATCAGGAGCCTGGTCCCAGATCCCTACAGCCTTAGAATTTTATGAAGCCAGTGCCATCACACTGGGCAACAACATCTTTGTGGTTGGTGGGCTCTCTGGAGAGGATGCTCAAGGAATCCGTCACTTCACCCAGCATTGTATTTGCTTGCTCAGAGATGGTACAACCAATCATAGCATCTCTGTCCCATTGCTCCCCATAGCCATCTCTTATCCTGGTGTTGCCTGCTGGAGGAAGAGGATATATGTCTTTGGAGGAGACAGCAACAACCGTTATTCCAGTATTATCCTTTACTGGGAGCCAGGCCAAAACACCTGGACCCAGTGCTCAGCAAGCCTACCTGATCCTAATTATGGGGCATTTGGGTTTGGCTGCATACCACTTAAGGTGCCTCGAAAACATATCCTCAGCATCTTTCATAGGGGATCTGCCACAGCAGTAACAGAGCATGCAACGTGCAGTTAAGTACGCTACATGGCATCCTACCTACTTGGCAACCATTGCTGCTACTTTTCATGAATGAACTAATATTTAAAAGGAGAGATCAGAAGGCAAATATTTGATGGTTATCTTAGATCACAGTATTAATTCAGACTTCCTCTGTGGCCAATCAAATTGGCTTCTCCCACTTGACTAGAACAAGTCATTTTGATTCTCATCTTTCCTTTCTATCTCCTGGATTTCTCCAACTCTTTGCCTTTGCAGCTCAACATTTTGTACATCTTGCCTCAATTCTCTGAGTAAGTTTTCTTCTATCTCGGTCAAACTGACATTCCAATTATTGCAGGATGTGGAAAATCAAGGCAACTGCTGAAAATTGGGATGTTTTGTATTGTCTGCTTTATAAATATTCTCTGAACTGCAGAATTTCAGCCAACAATTAGAAGCTCAACAGCAGTCCCTAACTGCACTTCAGTCCGTTTATATATCAAGCTCCAAAATTGTGTACAGACTGCATTAGAATCTCTGGACCAGCTTATATTCCACTTCCTGGTGCTTTTTTTTTTTTTTGCTTTAGGCATTTTAGTTCACCATATGAAATATTATATGAAAGTTCTACATCACCCAGTAAAGAGAAGGTTCTAGGCCTTTCTGGGGTTCTTTCACCCAGGGAATGATCCAAAGGCAACATAAAATTGTGTCAAAGAAGAAAGATTTTTAAAAGGAAATCATTTAAGGCTATGGGAAATGCACACAGAATACGGAAAGCAACAGGGCTAAAATGGCCAAGTAGCAAAGAAGAAACAGGAGATGGCAGAGTATGTGATTTTTATACCTAGAGCCACATACAGTGCTGAGTCTGCTGACAGAGAAAGTTTATATAGGGAGAAGAAAAAGACTGGATCAATCACCATGCAAAAGGATGGAGCCAGGCAAGGTGCCAACTCTTAAAACAACATAGCTTTTGAACAGAAGCACTATATCTGACAGCTGATTGCCCCTGTGATGTCTCTGCTTCCTTTACTATAACCAACAGCTACTGACTATCTTTTATGATAGTCATCTTGGAAAAGAGAATTTTGACACATACTTTCCCATCTTCTAACATAGGAGATGACAAGCAGCTGCAACTGTTCCTTTAATCCATGCTGTCTGCTCCTTTCCCATATCTAGGGAAGGAGGCAGAGGGACCAAATTTAAAGTTATGCATTCAATACACAGGTGGCATAGAAACAATTCTGATCTGTGCTAGTTTTTGAATCTCTTTGGCTGTTTGTGGGCTTGTAGAATATTGGCCCAAAGATCAATCTGCATTTGCAGAACTATTTACTTGTTTCCCTGTGGTTGTTTTGTGACAGGTAAACTAGCCCAGAGATCTAGGCTGACACTTTCTGCAGCAAGGTATTACCTGACAGCATTATAACATGCTGATCTAACTTTAGTTATGTGTGGTCAACTTAAAAAAGACTCCAAATACAAGTAGTAGAACCAAAATAGATGCTAGCTATGACTGGATATTCATTGATCTAGAACTGTATTAAAACTGTTCTGAAATATGTTTTGGTCTTTTTTTTTTTCCTCTAGATTTAGGAGGGATAAAAGTGCCTGATATTAGAATCCTTGTTATTCCATATAATTATAACAGTGTTTTGCTCTTTTGTTCTTAGAAGTTCATATGGATTCTCTCCCAACGCCCATCCCCACACACCCCCACATTGCTATTTGTGCACTTCAGCGAAGCAATATGTGACATAAGCATATACTTGATTTCAATACAATTATTTCTGCTGGATGCTTTGCTAATTTGCAGAGCTTGGATCCTGGTAACATATGAAAAGGGAATCAGATCCATTTCGCATGTATTTTTATTTATTTATTAGATTTTTCTCCTACATTCGTTATTTCATAAGTAACTCAAGGCAGCAAATATACACAATATCCTTCCTTCTCCTCCTTTCCCCACAACTACAACCCTATGAAGTGAGTTAGGCTGAGAGAGAGCAGCTGGCTCAAAGTTATCCAGTCGGCTTTCATGGCTCAGGCAGGACTAGAACTCACAGTCTCCTGGTTTGACAGATTTAACTCTTATAAACAAATAATCAAATTCACCTCAAATTCATTCTCTGAATGAATTCTGTGTGGTTGAAGGCCCTAATTTAATAGGCCCTAAAGAAGAATGAATGGGTTCAAAAAGCATTGGAGTCCTCCTAATAGCCTTTTGAGAACTACTTTGGCTGTGATGTCCTCACATCCAATCCTAGGTCAATAATACCGTACTAAGAAGGTTCACTTGCACTAAATGCAAACCCACCACCAACTCATCACTATTGTTTTTTGTAGCACATTATCAATATTGTATTATATCTCTGCATGTGAAGGTAAAGACAAAAGTAGATTGAAAGAGCTTGAATTAGCTGTGGAGATTTTCCAAGCTAATCTGGGAAAGCTGAACACTCTATCCCACAATTTTCTCCATTGTTGTCCAGTGCCAGACATAAATGAGAACACTGAAAATGTTTTCTGGGTCACTTTGCAGGAGATTCTCTCTTAAGGTTTTTTTTTTCTCCTAATTTTATGCATGTTTACAGGTCCCTAAGCCTGTCATTTCCCTCTTCTGTAAGTGTCAGGCACTGTTTTAGCTACGTAGATGACATTCAAGCCCAAATTCTGGAAATAGAGACGATTTAATGCAGTAGAATTCATAAGGAGAGGAATGCAGGCGGGAGTGAATCAGAGCATGAAGAAACCCACCCGCCCTTAATGGGAAAGTAAATAACATCCATCCAAGCTCTGTTATTTCCCATGGGATGCACCCATAAATGCAGGCGTATCTGGCTGTATATCCTCTCTGTATTCTGCCTAACTAGTCAACCAAATAGGATGGGATGAGAGGAGATAGCTTGGGTCCAGTTGCCTTGGAAACAGCAACATTTCTCTTATCACAGTTCTTCAATTAGTTCTGTAGACTTTTTTGGGGGGGGATCACACATATACAGTATTATTTCTTTTCTAACTCAACGTTGAGTCAAGCAGAACCGTTCCTCCTTCTGTTTCTTACAAAACTTTAAGCGCTCACCTCTCAGAAGGTGGGATACATCCCTGCTTGGATAGATTTCAGTGAGCCAAGTCCTAGTTCTGTTCCCTAAAAGGAAAAAATTGAGGTGTTTCTGCCTGATACTTTGAAATCTATGAAAAGGAAGAGCAGAAAGTATAAATTCTCCCAAGCTTCACATATTGCCCTAAAATTGAAAATTCAAAAAATGGGATCTAGATTTCTTGGACAGGCTTTAAGTTCTGCATTTCCTCCTCCAGAAAGACTGTTATTCCTTATACTGTAGTGATCAAAGAAAACAATATAAGTGGAAGAGGGATAAATCTGCAGCATTTAGAAAAGTAGAAGACGTTGCCCACTGATCCTTCTGGACAAATCTCTGGGGACGACACAGGATTTATTCTATACTACAAAAGATGCAAAAATCTTAAAGCTTCCCAAGCTAGCCTATAGCCTGGATTTTCAAGTACCAATTGGATCTTGGACTAAAGGCAAGAACTGAAGGCTGGGAATTTGTGGTACAGTATTAAATTTAGGTTTTATGTAAAGGCCAAAACCGGCTTCTCAACTTGATGTTAGCAAGATCTACTTCATTAGCTTGGGAGCTGCCACAATGAAACCTTTTCATACACCAACACCTTTAGTGACTCCAAAAACAAAACAAAAAGAGGCACAGTATACTATTAACTATTAACAGTATGCTATTAACTCTTTAAAAAAATACTGCAAAATATTGTGCTACACAGAGCCTTTTCACTTTGGCTATTTAGCTGGGCCATTTTTCATTAACCAACATTCAGTTTTATTACTGGGTTGATATGTAACATATATTTTCAAGATCATACTTAAGAAGATATAATCTAAGAAACCTATTCCATTAAAGGCTGCCTGAGTCCAGCTTTTCCTTTTCATTACTCTCTTTTTTAGAAAACACAGTCTTTTTTTCATTTATCTATTTCCTTTCCTTTTCTTCTCTCTTTTCCCTTGCAGAATCCTTCTTGCTTGCTTGTAGACCATCATAAGGAGATGGTCAGACCTGGCACTCCTCCTTGGTCACCACCCTCCAATCTACCTCCTGTGGCCAAGCTTTACCTCCCTGATGACAGTGCCTGGCCACTAACAGCACCCACCATCAACAGCAGGCAGGGGTTTTTAGGGCTCCTAGAATTGGCACCAATTCTGTCATTTGGTTAACCAGGCCTACCTCTTGATAGATCTGCTTGTTGAATCACCAGGATGTTCATCTTCTCAGGGTTTCTTGAGCTTCAGGCTGGATGCCAATGCTTGCCGGACAGTATCCCCAACATTAACCAAGTATTGTTGCAGGCCACAGAATGTCATCTGCAGACTACATGTACAGTAGCCAGGAGCTGAATGTTGGAGTAATGGTTTATAGCAGGGATCTCCAAACTTGGCAACTTTAAGATTTGTGGACTTCATCTCCCAGAATTCCCCAGCCAGCCTTCAATTCTGGGAATTCAAGTCCATAAATCTTAAAGTTGCCAAGTTTGGAGATCCCTGGTCTAAAGCCTCAATAGCAAAACCAGCATAGTTGAATTAGTAATAAGATAATGAACCTGCATTCTGTCTAGATCGGGGTAGGCAACTTTGGCTCTTATATGACTCGTGGACATCAACTCCTGGCTCAGGAATTCTGGGAGTTGAAGTCCACAAATCATAAAAGAGCCAAGGTTGCCTACCCCTGGTCTAGATGGACCTAGATTGGTGTGATTTTAAGTACTGGTTTGCAGAGTGAAAGAGAGGTTTCCATGAAGGTGTTCCTAATACACTTTTTAACTAAGCACATATTCACTTTCTTCTTTTTCTGATGTATGTGTGAGTGTACTCGTTCCATTATTTTCTCTGGGAAGCTACTGACTCACCATTATTTTAACTTGATTTGTATTTTTTTCCTAATTTTAGTTACATTAATGCTTTAAGCAATGAGAGATCAAGTAGTGAATGAAATTACCTGATAATGCTTGGTATAGCCAATTTAATTGAACCACATGATACCACAGAGTACAGAGAAGCTGATTTTGAAGCCATTCTACCAGTTTCAAGAATCCCATGGCTAAAGCAAACAATCCAGATTAACAAAGTTATTATTTAGTCCATTAGGTAGCCAGGGCCCCTATTTTACAAAGGAACAGTATAATCTGTTGGAGGGACAGACCTTTCCATGGTTTAAAGATGAAACATCTAAGAAGAGGAAGGACATGGAAGTTATCCACATACAATGAACATCTGGACAACAATTCCAGTCCTCAGGCAGGGGGATCACAGTCCTGTGCAATATATCATAAAATGCACTTATTTTCAATTATAATCATAGGGATTCCAAGGGTATATCAATACATCTAAATTAATCAATGCTAATTTTATACAAATCTGAACTTTTTTATCAGCTTGTTTGGGTAATGTTCAAATGACCATTCTAAAATAGATGCAAGCAGATTGAAATTAATCCTCAGGAGGTAAATGAAGACATATTAAAAGTGCCAGAGGTTATTGATGTATCTGATAGAATCCAGACATGAACTCATAAGTGAGTGAAATTTATTTCAAACACATTTAAAGGTAGTCCTCAAATTACAACCACAATGGACCCTGCCCATTATGGTTATAACTTGTAATGGTCATAAATCAGTTCACCCATGTGACCAAGCCAATTTTTATGAACTTTTTTGTTATGATCGTTAAACAAACCCAGTGGTTGTAAAGCAGGGGTCTTCAAACTTGGCCCTTTTATGACTTGTGGACTTCTCCCAGAATTCCTCAGCCAGTGTACCTGGTTGAGGAATTCTGGGAATTGAAGTCCACAAGTCATAAAAGGGCCAAGTTTGAAGACTCCTGTTGTAAACTGAAGCCTGGTTTGCTATGGGTTGGTTTTGCTAAAAACCGGAAGTAAATGCCGGTTTTTCGCAAAACCATTGCAAAATGTGGTCACATGACTGCAGGATGCTGCAAATGGCTGTAAATGCAGCCTGGTTGCGGATTGCCTGAAGTGCAGTCACATGAACATGGAGGAGCAACTGTTAAAAGTTTGAATCCAGGTTATAAGTACCCTCTAGGTAGGTCCATTGTAATTTCAAAAACTTGCTGAGTGGCTGGGCATGAGTTAAGGATGACCACCTCTCCACCCACTTAACACTGCTCTTCGCACACAATACAATCAACAGGAGGGGAAAACCCTATAAAACGAAAGACCAATAAAAGATACAATAACATTAGCTTAGAATAGAACTCTATCAGAGAGTTCTACGAAGTGTCCCTAAAGTTAGTGCAATTAAAAAAAAATATTTTAAACTATCCTAAGACTTTTGGGATATTCTATAGATTAGAAATCAGTTTAATCACTGCTTACTGATCTATTTTCTAACCATCTTCCACATCCTAGTGGGCATCTTATCTTTTGTGCTATTAGACTCAATTCCAGCCTGCCAGATCTTATAAAGCTTTGGCAGCAGAGTTTGTTCCCCAGTCTGGACAACTTGCTTTGATATCAGAGATGTCACTGAAGTCTCCGCCTGCTGCCATAGAACTTCACTCTGCCTCACTGG